ACTGACTGGCTGATTCTGCAGCCAAGAGGCCTCACCCAGTTCTGGTGTAGCGCAAGCCCTGTCCCAAGCGCGCCAACCACCGCCGCAGTCACGATGGCTCCCTGCGGCACGCAAGCGCGGGGGCGGTGGGTGCTCCTGCCAGGCGGCCGGCTCGACGCGCGGAGGAGAGGAGACCGGGAGGCGACCTGTCCTTCCTAGAGAGAACCGTCCTAGAGCCTTCCTAGAGGAGAGCGGGCGGCGACTGTCTGTGTGCTACTGCTCTGCTGCTGCGCGAAGGGAGGGTTTGGGAGGAGCAGGCCAGAGACAGAGGAGCGGGGGCGGAGGGAAAGCGGCCCACAGGCGAACGATGGGCGGAGGCTCGTGCGCGCGGCGGGCGGTGCGAGGCCGCTGGCGAGCCTGCAGCTTCCGGAAGAGCCATCCCGCCACGACGCCGCACCCGACGCCGATCGCGCACTCGCCTCCTGCGGACGTGAGTACGGGCCAGACACATCGCGGGCTGGGTCGAGTGGGACGGGCGGCGCGTCGAGCTGCGGAAACGGCGGAGCCAGCACAGTGACGGCGAGTGGGAGGTAGAGATCGCGGCTGTGTGCTCCCGCGCCGTGGCCGCGAGTGATGTTGAGCGCCGACTCGATGAGGTGGTCGGCGTCGTGCTCCCACGAGAAGGCCGAGCACGAGCAGAGCAGAGCGAGGCTCACGAGTGAGGCGGCCCAGGCGCGCATTGGTCGAACCGGCCGGTGGCAATCGATCAAGAAAAAGAAAATAATCGGCCTCGTGTGTGTGTGTGAGTGTCACCGGGCCAACCTGCGGCCGTCGCCACGTGCGGCGGGGCTCACCGCGGGGCAGCGCGCCGACGACGTCGAATGCGCCGCCGTGGCATCGCGGCGCCGACGACCAGGCTCAGAGGATGACCCCGGGTAAGCGTTCCCGTGCCTCGACAATTGCCGCTGGTAGGCGCGCCGCGCCGAACCATGGCGGGCGCGCCGCGGCCGCGCGCAACCCTCGTCACAATGCCAACCGCGCGCGGCCGTCGACCGGCAAGCACACGCCTCGACTCGGACACAGTGTTCCGAGGGCAAGGGAGAGGGGCTGGCTCCTAGCCCGAGAGGAGAGCTTCCGAGACCCACTACAAGACCACGCACGCATCATCCCGCGGCCTGGCGGTCGGCGGGATTGCAACCAGTCTTCGCGTGCCGCCTGTCGTTCGCTCGGGCGCCTTGGGCGTCGGGGTGGCGAGCAGGGGACGCAGCTCTGAGCGCCCAGCGACGCGTGCCGGATGGAGTCCGGCCGCGGGTGACTAGGGAAGTTCGCTCAGGATGTGTGGCAGTCAGTTCGGCTGAGTGTCTTGTCTTCTCATCGCCCGTCTAGCGTCCACCCATACCGCGTTGGTGTCCCAGTCGTTGGTCGGACTGTGTTTCGCCTTCCCATCAATCAATCAATGAGTGTGTGTGTCGCATGAGAGAGAGAGAGAGAGAGAGAGAGAGAGAGAGAGAGAGATCCTCTCTCTGTGTCGCATGCGCCCAGGAGGGGAGGGGGCATGCGTAACGACACTGCTAGAGATGCCTTTCGGGGCCCAGAGACAAAACTTCTGATGCCATGCGTGACCTAGTAGTGTCCCCAGCTATGGGCGTGTCCACGTTGGAGCCAGGTGTGGTGTGGACGCGAGAATAGCCCCGCCGTTCATGGAGGCAACCGATGCGAGTCGACTGGTGTGTGTCGTCGTGGTTTCGCATCAAGAATACTCACTCAAACACGAACAAGACGGAAAAAGCACCATACTCCACTCACCCCAATTCTAACACATGTGTATATCGCATACATCTATCCATGAGATGAGATCACAACATTCACGAGTCATGACCTCCTGTTCAT